CCTAGCGTGCGGCCCCACGGGTTGGAGTCTTTCACGTCATCTTGTTAAACAAGACAACAAAGCTGAGGCGAGTGCAAAGATAATAAAGGGATCACACAGCGGCGTCACTGCTTGCAACAGCTGAGACCAGAACACCAAGCGAATCTGAAGGCCGAAACAACCAGGATATTTCTTGGGGTGGGTTTTAGGGCTGTCAAGGTAAAGCCCAACTCAGGAGCACTGAAAACCTTTCGAGTCCAACCTCACCCATCCAACAGGACTTTGCTACACCTGGCGGGCCCGGTCCCATTGGCCTTCAAACCGGCACAAGACGTCCCAAAGATTCACGTGGCCGTCTGTTCGCGCCAAGGGGGAAAAAAAAACGCGTCGGCCGTCCGCAGAGACTGACTTACAATGCCTGGGACTGTGGGAATGGCAAACCTGAAAGCAAAGTGCAACGACACCAACACAAAATACCAGACGCCAGGTTGCCTTTGCAAAAAAACCGCGCCTCACCCCCTGCCCACTTTTCCCCTCCGGCACACTCACTCCCCCCTTTCCCCCGTCAACCCCTCACCCCGTCAACCGCTTCCAAGGCGTCGGGGCCGACGGAGCGCTCCGAGCCGACGGAGCCGACGGAGCCGACGGAGCCGAGGCGCGGGGGCTCCAGGGCGTCCAGGGCTGGCGCCAGCTCCAACTCGCCGGGCCCGCGAAGTAGCCGTCGTCCTCGCGCTGCTGCTCGCTCCGAGCTCAATGGAATACCCGTGAAGTTTCCGGATGGGGTGGGGGCAAAGCCCGAGTAGAATACTCATCACAACCCTGACGGCCTTGCAAAAACTGGTGTTATTTTTTTAAAACCCTAGTTCCCGGGCGCGCTTCCGGGACGTTCGGTGCCCGGTAACCCATGAAAACCCCAGAGGGGGCCTGGGTTGAAAAGCTGTGATTCTGATTTTGTGTTTTTTTGCAGCCTGCTACAAGAGGAACGGAAACGACATGAAAAAGGAGAACTTGATCCAAGAACGGTGAAGAATGCCCATTTGGGGGGTCAGGCGGAAATGAACCCTATTGAAAGCAAGGACTCAAATCTGGGTTTTGTGTTGCTTTTACTTTTCACCCATACCCATGTTGTGCTACAGCTTAAACAATCCCCTTTTGGCTTGGGGAGCCATGCTGAAACAATTTAACTTTGGCTTCAGGGGATCCCATTTCAGGGAATTCCTCTCCACCTGCAGTCCGCAGTTGATCTTCTTGCGTTTCGGATGGTTGATATCCGGAAGCAGGAAGTATCGGAAATCTTGTAATAAATCTGCTTTGGTTGGGTGTCACTGATGGACATGGCTGTGAACTCAAGGTGGTTGGCCCGCTGTCTCTGTTCCTATCTTTCGCTTTCCCTCCCCCAACAACTGCTTTCCCAATATTTTGGGCTGGTCAACTTGACTTGATTTGCAACATGCACCCCACTAAATCTTGCCAAGCTGACCATTCGTCTGTTCCCCTCAGGCTTGCGCCTTAGTGGTCATTCATGTGGATGTCGTCTAGCCAAGCAAAATGCATTCCGTAGCAAACGTGTGACGTGGGCTCAAACACAATTACCATACATGCGACAGTTTCAATGAACAAGCAACATCTAACAAGATTGCCTCTGGAATATCCGAGATTCCGCCGTTTTTGTACATGCAGGGCAGTCTCAAAGCGGGCAGCCCGAAGTCACTCCAAAAAAGGCCACAGTCGAAACTCAGAACCGACACCAACCCCGAACCAACCCTCCCGGGTTTGGCTGTTTCGTTTGTTTGTCTGGCTAGTTGGTTGGTTTGGTTGTTTGGTCGCTTGGTTTGGCTGGCTGGCTGGTTGCTTCGGCTAACTGGTTGCTTGGTTTGCTTGGTTTGGTGGTTTGGTGGTTTGGCTAGTGGTTCAGTTGTCTGGCAGGCAACTTTGGCCGGCTGTTTTTTCCGGCTAGTTGGTTGGTTTGCCTCCCCCTCGGTTGCTTTCTGCTCCCCTGTTAAAAAGTTTAACTTTCAGTGGTTTAATTGGAAACCCATGAGTTGGCAAAAGTTAGAGTCCTAACATCCCTTGGCAACCTGCAACAAAGCCCCCACCCCCCCTCCCCTCCCCTTCCGCTTTTTCGGTCCTTCTGGCCAGCCACCCAGGCGCTGAGCGCCTCCACTCGGCTCAGGCGCCGCCGCGCCAGCACCGCGGCGCTGCGGCGGCCCTGCGCCAACAGCTGCCGCAGCTTCGCCAGCTCCTCGCAACGATCGAGCGAACGAAGGCGATTTGGCGGGGGAAGCTGGGCGGGTTTGGGGGGGGGTTTGGGGGGGGGAGGTTGCGGGGAATGTATACCCATGGGGCTTTGGGGTGAAGGGGGGGAGGGGGTCAGGGGTGGGCTAAGCCCTTGTTGAAGTTGGATTCCAAGTTCTTGGTTTGGATGTGGCTTGGTTGGCTTGTAGGTTTCGGCTCGCGTTTTCGGGCTCCGAAGATGGGATAAATCAGCTGGATTAGTGGTGCTTAGGGGCGGTTTCACATTTACCCTTCTACAAGAACCAGGAGAACAAATCCGAATCCACCCTTTAAATCCAAACAATTACTTAGGGGTTCCCTGACACACACTCCAACGGTGTGGGCTTGCAAAAAAGTGACTGACTGTTTTTGCAGCCTATTAAAAATGGACAGAACCAAAAAAAACTTGATCCAACAACTGTGAACTTCAGGCGGGGCGGTGGACGTTGGTGTGGATTGGCAACGTTAGGGTTAAGTGGGTTTAGGGGGTAGGATGGTGTCCTGTTTGCCAAGAACGCGTCGATTCTCCAGACCAATCCAAACTAGTTAACAGTTCTCTAAAATCATTGGCAAGACGAACATCGTGCTGTATCAACTGAGGGGCTGTGGCAAGAAACAAAATCGACACACCAAGAACAAACACCACGTCATTTCTTGGTGAATTGCGTCTGGTGGCCAGAACGCCCCATCCAAGGAGTCGTTTGCTCAAAGTGAGACGTGTGAAGGCTGAGGTGTTTTTTGTTTTACTAGCCCTCGGCTTTTTACCAGCCCATCCTCAGCACCAGGCCTCCCTCATGTGGCTCTAGCCGGGGCTAGCAACAAAAACAAAACTGTTTCGCATGTGAAGCTTGGCCAAAAGGAGAAATCGACCGAACTCGTCCGGGCCATTGGCTTGCTCAAGACTCACCATCTCTCCTGCCAGTGCCACAAGGCCTCCGGTCGGTCGCTGAGGATGGTCACCTTGATTGCATGGGGCCGGTCGCTGCAAAACCAAGGCAACGCAAAGGACTCGCATCGGCTGCGCGGAGCCTTGGTGTTTAGGGTGTGGCTCAAAATTCAAGAGCCAGGGAAAACCGTGGGTGATAGTCTTTGGCTCCATTTACTAAGGTGCCATTGTGGTACGTTTTTTGAGCCACACCTCCAGTGCGCTTCCATAAGCCTTGAAAGCAGTCTCCGTCCACCGTCACATTGCCCCCTTTCGGATGTTAGGTGACCTGCCGACTGGAACAAACAAGGAAACAAGGATACCATTGAAGTCACCCCATGTTGTCGGCGGGGTTCGATGCTCTCAATGGGCAACCCCTCCGGAAAACCAAAACGCCATGGTCCAATTTAAGCGTAAACCGTCCCATGAGTGAACATGGAACTGCACAAAACATGTTTGCAAGACAAACTGCTTTTAAAGATTTCCCAGCCCCCAAAGCAAAGGATGACTCTGTAGTGACTCGCTTATGTTCTCCCAAGTTGCTCCTTGTTTGGTACATATATAGGTCTGGTGATGGAACCGTTGCTGCAGTTGTCCTTAGAGAACTCAATCTTTGGTGTTTGTGAGTGAGAAGAACCCGCCCATCCTCGCTGTTTTGGTGCTTCCCGCAGCATTCCTATGATCCATGGCTGGCAATCAGCTGAACAACTCTGAAGACAGCGCAGCATGGCGACGAATTGGTGCAACCAAACAATGGCGCACCAGACCTAACCAAACCCGAGAAACGATTTCGCATCATCTAGACATGCCTTCCCGGATTTGCCCGTCAAATCCAGTCGAGCTAGCTGGTGTCAACAGGCAGCGGATGAAACCTGGATCGCAATGATTTCCTTTCTCCAGTTAAGCAAAATAAATGTCACTGGGGCCAACACCAAACTTCTCAAGTTGGCGGACAGCTCTGCAATGCTTCCCCCACCTCCCAAGAAGATCACGTCTCTCCGTTTTGCCTCACTGATTCAAATGGCGCCCACTCTTGAGGGTCTTGAGGGTCCTTTGGAGACTACCGTGGGTGTCTCTGTTTTTGAGGCTCCCTCTTTTCATGGTCGGGAAACCTGCCAGGAACACCACACATTGTCGGGGTTCCCTATTTGACACATATTTGGCTGTGGCTCAAATAAATGTACCAAAATGACACCTTGGTAAATGGAACCAAAGACTAAACCCTGCGTAACCCCAGCTGGTTAATTTTTGAGCTACACCCATTTACAGTATATGTGACTTCGCTGCGGCTGAAGGCACGTTCTGGGGAGCGTAGGCCCAGAGCATGAGGCGATCCAAATGGTTTGCCAGGGCCTGACTCTGTGAGGCCACGTTCTCTGCCACATGGGGCTGGATCTGCAAGTACCGGAGGTCCACCAGCTGCAGCAGGAACTCCTAGGCAACCAACAACGTCACTGAGGATGTGTCCTTTGGATACCCGTTTCGGGTTGGTTTCTTCTTCTTCTTCTTGGGGCACATCCGGAAGATCACCACCAAAGTTGGGTAACGCCCCGTTCTGAGAAAACCTGTTCTGCTGAGACAAGTACTCGGGACTCAAAGGGATACGCACCTGAGAGGCTGAAGGCTGAGGGCTCAGGCCGACAGACATTCAAAAATAACCTCCGAGCACGGGGTGATCAAGCCGATCTGGAAAGCAGTGAACGGCTGCCCCGCGTGCCTTTGCATTGGATCTAGCGGCCCTGGAAGTACTGTCAAGGGTTGTACCTTTAGTGTCGTACCCCATTGTTGCGTATATGCATATGTGTGTATATATGGAGGTTGATCAATATTCCCTTCGGCTGCTAGTTGTGACCATGGGTAATAACATGGTTAAACATGTCAATTTTCGGAGAAAAAAAAAGATCAACCAATGTGGGTCCAAGTTGGATCCCTTGGTCCATGTCCGAAAGCACGTGTCTCCATGGTAGAGTCCTTGTTTGGAAAACATCCTTCTCATGTTGTAGGGGTCCAAGCAAACTGGCAAGCCGCACTTGCCATGGATTCGGCTTCTTTCACAGACAAACCAAAGAGAAACCAGCAGCTTTCGGTTTCCCAATTCGTTGAAAACCCCCATGTTGGATATCTTCAAAGCAAGTTTCGCCAATAATCCCAAACTCCAAAACCTGAAATCATTAAGAACTAGACCAAGTAAAGGACCCACATCATGGCTACGCCCGTTTTGCCCCTCCAGGTCCTCCGGTAGAGAGGCTAGAATAAGAGTACCCCATTTTTTCTGTATAGTCTATTTTAGTAGGGGAACCCTCGAAACCGATACACCCGCGCCAAGGGCTACCGCTGGCGGTGGGGCTCCTCCAAGATGCGAATGCGGCCCCAGGCCAGCGCCAGCATCTCTTCGGAGGCCTCGCGGGCGACAGGCCACGGGTTTCGCTTGGGCCGCGTTGGTCGGCTGGAAGGGGCGCCTTTGCCGGGTAGCAACCCCTTGGCTGGTCTAGGTCCTCCAGATTTGAGAGGTTAGAATAAGGGCACCAACTTTTTTTCGGTAGTCTGTTTTAGTAGGGGAACCCTATGGGCCTGCAAACGTTGCTTTTGTGCTTTTGGTGGTTCTCTAGAACCCAAACGGCACGGGCTTGCAAACAACTTGGGAACAACGCCACTGCCTACCTCTCGCAGCAAGTCTACTCACTTCCGCACCAGCGTAAAACTTGGACACACATTTTTCGTTCGCTTGGGCAGGTCCGTCCGCCCTTTCGCCGCCTTCGCCAAGCGCGCGCCGATCGCCAAACCCCCGCCTTCTTCAGCCGCAGATCCTCCACCCGAGGATCCACCCAGGGCCGCACCGCTTGGGCGCCGAAGCCCTCCCAAACATCCTCCGAGAAAACCCAAAAATGTCCGCGCGAGCCGAGCCGAGCGAACACCAACGGGCGCCCAAACGGGACACGCGCCAGAACGTGTTGGCGCCAAACCGGGCTCTGGGCGGTCCGCCTTTTTCAGAAAGCGCGAAGAAGTGACGAACTTTTGGCGGGTGAAAGTCGGACATCCGAGCACCGAAACAGCTGAAAAGAGAAAAGATCCAACAAGCTCAAGGGATGAGATTCCGCAAGGGGTTTTTGTGTTGCACCCTGGGAGTACACCCGCCAGGTGACCCCATTGAGGCATCCGGATAAAATCGCGCTATTTTGAACCATGTTGGGTCATTTTCCAAGGGCGTAATCCCAGGAGGTGATACAGAAACCCTTAGATCTTACCTGTTGGTGCAATGTTATTTTGCTGCCTTCCCCCACACCATTCCAGTGTCGCTCTTCGTTTTAGCCTCTTTCCCCTTGCTGCCACCCTGTGCCAACCGTTCTTTCATCGGCCGCCCTTCCAAAAAGGACGCTTAGCGGAGGGGTCTGGAACAACCCCTCATGTGGCTGTGTCACAAGGCTGGCCCCAAAAGCCAGGTCTCTTGTGAAGAACCTATCCACACCCCTTCCTCTTCTGGTTGCCATCTCAAGATCTTACAACCTGCTTCCTTTGGATGTGTGATGTATAGCAACCCGGGACTGACTGATTGACCACTAGGGAGGATCCTTCACTTTCGGGAACACCCGCCGTCATTTATGCAGGGCTGAATCCACGGTCGACTTGATGCACCAAGAGCCTTAAAATTGGGTGCGTTCTTGCCAGGCTGCGTCTATGATCAATTCCTCGCTGAAAAACTCGGTGGCGAAGGAGAGACACCACCCCCGAGTGTTGCAGCTGGATGTGCCTGGAACCCCATACGCAAAACTCGGGGTCCAAGGAGGTTCCCCCCGTTGGCACATATTGGTGTAGGTGTTGACCTCTGTTAAGCAGCCAGAATAGCCCTTTTGGCTCCGTTTGCGGATTGCGTCAGGCATGCCAGAGGTTTGTCCTCAGATCTATAGTCAGATCCCTTTCTCAAGTGCCTCACAAATCTTGTAGCCTCGAACTTCGAAACTTCTGTCTTTGGGGGTACGCCGTACTACGCAGAGAAACCAAAGGGTTTCCCCACCCCATTTTGAGTGTGTCCTTTACAAGACAAACCCATTTTGTTGGAATGTCTTTTTTCAAGTGTTCCCCTAGAATATTAACCCTCTGCAAAACTGGGATCCTTACATTATACACCTGAACATTGCCTTGTAAATGGTGGTTTCCCTTTATCTTGGCGGAAAAAGCCATGTTTCAAATGGGCCAAATGTATCTTTCAAGGAGCCCTGCAAAACTGGCGGGGCTTCCTCTATTGGCCCCTCCGGCCGATAGGGTTCGCTCTCAGTCGCAAGTACCTTTCGAAAAGGGCTGCTCCAACTTGCAGGATGGCGCATCCTGGAGCAACCAAAACTTCAAGTTAAAAGATGCTAGTTCTAGTAAACAATTCCCACACTCCATAGCTGTCATAATTCCAGGAATCAGGCCTGCAGGCCATCCTGAAACTCCCAGTTTGCAGCTTCGTTTGTCCTTGCCGGAGAAAATTCAGGTTCCCCACATGTCCCGTGAAAAAGAAATCGCCCTAAGCTGAGAGAAGCTCACTTAAGCGGCCCAAATGGGCGAAAAACCATCAAGCGGCATAGGCTGTTGCTGGACCGACAGGGTTGGGTGCTGCGCTGTTTAGACACGTTGAAGCCACACGATTTCAGAAAACTCAAACAGCTTGCTTGTGGATTCGGTCAACCATGTTTCCACAAAAGAGGGGGGGTCCTTTCGGTTTCCCTTCACCGCGAAAAAGGGGTCCTCGCAAAAACAACCATGGTTACTGAACCTTAAAAGAAAGATGTTAGGTCCTCGAGTAGAGAGGTTAGAATAAGTGTACCCTCTTTTCTGTCGTCTATTTTAGTAGGAAAAAACCCTCCCCTCAAAAAAGGAACGGTAAAAGTTGGCACTATTGGGGGACCTAGGATGATTTCATTTCGAGGCCCAAATCGCACAGGCCGCTTCTGTCTCTGGCGCCTGTCCCCTAGTGTGCGGGGGTTGACAGCTCGAATTCGCAACGCCAATCCGCATGTTCACATGGGTTGATCCCAGGGCAAAATGCAATGAGGCCTATTTTTGCCCTCAAAGAATTGGATTTCCCCCCCCAAACAAAAATAAGAAGAAGAAAGAAAAACAAATGTCGGTGTTCCTTTTGGCTTCCCTTTGAACCAAGGTACCAAAAAGGGGCACAGTAAGAATGGAGGGTTGGGGCACCATAGAGCAAACTGACGTCTTTACGGGAAACAAGGTTAGTAATTGTCATTTACCGTCTACATGAAGGGGCTCAAACTCTGCCAATCTAAACCACCAACTAAGCGTCATCTGATTGTATACCATACAACCGCAAGTAGACCACATGAAACCAAAAGAAAGGTTCACCCCATATTAATCAACCCCGGTATATATTGAGAAGCGGGGGTCTTCTCCTCAAAAAGTCATGATTCCCGACTCAACCTAGGGACAACCCCCTTGTCAACATTAAACCACAAGCTTCTCACAACAAAGTTCACCACCCCGGGGGGTCTTTTTGCCACCTCCTGTGAGAAACTTGGCGACCCCCGCAACAAGGAATGCATCACTGCAAGGAAAGTCGTTTTTTTTTTTCCGAAGGGCCAAAAGACCCCCTGGCATTGGCCCTGGTGGAAGTGAACCGCCGTGTGGAAACAACCGGACAAAAACAAACCTGTTGAGACCTGTTGGGCAAAACGACCCTGCCCTCAACGCCCCGACGGCGCACGCCTGGCACCGAGATGTTGGGCAGTGCCCCGGCGAAGAGCTGCGCGCCCTCCCGGGACAGCGGCTCCAGCACCTGGACAAAGGGCGCTGAGGCGAATTCGGGGTGGGCCGGGTCGAAGGAAAACCAAAGGAATTCTCCGATTTCCATGTTTTTTGGTGTGTGTGTGTGGTTTCTTATCTCTCTCTCTTTTTTTTGGCGGGGGGGGTGCTTCGCCTCCGAAATCCGATTCTTCGTGTTTCTTTGTGTGTTTTTTTTTGGGGGGGGGGTCCCCTAGTTTGTCACACATCCTCAAACCGGCTGTGAATCTTTTAGTCCAAATGTCCGGGGAAGCCAAATGGAATTCAGGTAGGAAAGTCCACAGCGTGGAATTTGATCTTGGCCAGGTCCTGTCGGATGCGCTTTTGTTTTTCCCCCGGCACACTGCGCCGCCAGTGGCTTTCTGGGCAAAACGTAGCTTCTTCGCCGTGAAATGGCTGGTTGTTATTGTCATTGCAAGGATTGTAGCAGGGCTCAGGATCATTTGGAGCTCTTGATCAGCCTGCAGGTGTTGTAACCTCCCATTCCATTTGTAAAGCGGCAATGTGCCTGCACACCTGCGTTTTGGGCAGAGCATGCAGAGCAATGCATGGACGTCTGGACGAACATTTGCAACAACCCACACCTGAGGCAACATGTCATCGCGGAAATGCCTCTGAAAATGGGAGATCATGAACTGAATCCATGCAGAGCCTGAGGACATGCTTCTGGTTAGGTCTCGCCACCAAGGTTGATCCGATACAAATCAACCCCAGAAAAAATGAATAGGGGGGTGGCCCTTGGCGAATTGTGGGGGGAGGGGCCCCTAGCCCTAATGATTAAAAACTGGTGGGTTGATTCATCTGGGGTCAACATTAACCTTCCTTCAGTCTCACCCCCCTAAATATTACTAAACTGGGGTTGATTCATATGGGTCAACATTAACCTTCCTTCACGGGTTTGACTCCTCTGTCAAGTGACCTTTCCTCGCCAGTCGGGCCTTCTCAGTGACGTCTATCACCTCCTGCACCACACCTCTGACCGTTGGCAGTACCCGGGACAGGCTCCTCGTTGAAAAGCTCAGCCTGGAGCGGTTGCCAGGCAATGGCAGCCCCAGAAACGAACCAAGGGGATTAGTAGGCACCCCAAGACGGTGGATGGAGAAGCCCTCCGAATCCCGAAATTCTCACCTCTGACAAAAAAAAAAAAAACAATAATAATAAAAAATGAGAACCCAGTGACCTGCTTGACGTTTGGACGGTTCTTGGTATCGTTGACTTCAGCCACGTGCGCTCTGGCAAAGACAAGAAGAAGAGGAAAAACTGAGCTCCACACTCCGCTACTTATTCATGTGACCACGAGCCAAAAGAAAACCAGCGCGGAGTATTCAGACCACTAACATTGCGAGAAGATGCAAACCTCCAGGGTACAAGAGCAGCAAACAAGGCAGTCAAACTAGGTCCTCCAGTAGAGAGCTTAGAATAAGGCTACCCCTTTTTCTCTTTAGTCTATTTTAGGGAACCCTCCCCCGGAAAAAAAAAGGAAGAAAAAAAGAAACGGTAGAAGGGCGCCTAGCTGGGAGACTCAGAAACTTCGAAGCCTGCCTCAGTTCAAGGCGCCAAATGATCTATCCGGGTTCCAACTGAGCGGCTGGAAACCAAAGGCATGCGAGAAGAGATGCCACAAATGCCGCGTGAAGTCAACTGACGAATCGCTCCGCTTCAGTTCCGGTTCCTTACCTTACCCCTTAAAACTCCCTGCGCCCTGGGGAAGAGCTCATCTTTTACAGACATATAGCCCATGTTACCCAAAAAGTTGAGAAGTTGTGTTTTTAAGAGGTAAGTTACCCTTTTTTGCCAGGATGAGCCGTTCCCCGCTAAGGTTCATAGTGGAATTTGCGGCTGGCCTTTGTGTAGCACAAACTCGGGGTGAGTGGCAAGGCCTGCGGGTCTTGCGTTTCACCAAATGAACCCCTTATTCAGTCCGCGACAGATACGGGTGGGCCCGCTGGCTGGCAGCTTCTACGGATGCAAAGCAAGAGGATGTCGGTGTCGTTATGCTACCTAGGCTATGCTGCACTTCAGTTCGTATCTTGCTTCTTTACACTCCACTTACATCTAGTCTGACATCAAAGCATGCAACGAGACATGTCCGAGCATGCCGTGTCAAAACCTCTGCATCGCCTCCGGGCATTGGTGGTGGTCGCCGCCTGAAGCAAAGCGCAACTGAACAACAAACAAGGAGCTCCAGAACTCCAAAGTCGAAATGTCAAAAGCCGATTCCTCTTGGATTGTCCCAAATGATAAATCCTTGTATATTCTCAGGGTACCGGGAATCACGACGTCCGAATGATCCCCGGCAATGATTGATCTGAATGCGTGGCAAAGCTCTGGAATCCACCAGAACTAATCAAATGCTCGACGGGCAAACCATGCACGCTAAGCATCCAACATCATCCAACAACATCACTGTGATGATGTCAAACGTCTCAGGAGTGGCTTTATGGACAATTCAAACAACTGCCGGTGGGTTCTCACTGCGCAAATCACAGTTGGCCAGAGCCAGCGAGGATGTCCGGGAACTGTTCCCGTCCCAAAAAAAGAAAAAAAACATGGCTTTACACCCCGGAACGTTTGGCTGTTGACCTGCCCGCAGCAACCTCTCACAAACAACATCAGCAAGAATGCCTCGGTGGTCGCCGCGGGAGTCGTGGCAGGCATGGTCGTCGTGTCTGGGGAAGTTGTTGGGGTTGTGGTAGTGGTCTCTGCTGTTGTGGTGGTGGTGGTCGTGGTGGATGTGGTAGTCTGTGTGCTGATGGCCAGCAGCAGCTCATCGCCGTAGCTGAACATGTCCTGGGCAACCTGCCATTCACAAGCCCGAGCCCTGGGCCAGAAGAAAAAACCGCAGCACGGTAAGGCGCCGGTAAGACTTCGGGGGAACCCAACCCCCTACGAATAGACCTATTCATAAGGCCTTCCCATGCATGGGGATTTCTAGGGGGTCCCACCTTGATTTTAGAGAGAAGGAATGATCAAAAGCATGTCTTACTCAGTTCTCCCCCAAGCCATGGTCAAAGACGCATCTGAAATTCAGCTGATGCTTCACCTATGAAACGCAAGCTCCAGCCTGCACTGGGCCTTCAATGAGGAACTTTGGATCAAGCCTGGAACCGCAGTGGCCTTGTGCAATCCACGTTCCGGGAATGTCAAGCAAACCCTAAAGGAAACGTCAAACACAAGTGGGCTTAAACAAAGCTTCGAGGGCTGCACTCAGCATTTTTTGTGTGCACTTGACAGATACCCGTTGGAAATGCTCTTGATGGTCTGGGCAAAGATTATATTATGACCGCCCGAAGCGCCAAGACGGACAAGCAGGTTGTTGCCATCCAAGACCCTCTCGCCTTGTGCACGGCAGAAATCATATCGATCAGTGAGGTGTCCAAAGGAGACCAACCACAACCAAACTGGGCATATATACATATATATATATATATATATGTTCGCTCTTTAAGTCGTGATTGCGGACCCTTTGGAAGACAACATTTACTTGGACGCCCACCATGTGCGAGGGTTTTGCTTCGTTCAAATTCATATTCACATCTGCTTCCCTTAAACCTTGATGTTCACGGTACCAAAATACATATGTATGTGTGTATATACATATATACACATACCATATATATATATATATGTGATAAGCACACTACGCTACGTCCTTTCATGGGAGGGTGAACCTTTGAAAGGGTTCCCCACATGGGAGGGGTAGTCCTTCGCTCCATACGCCGCCAGACCCGCCGTGTCCGGCCCCGCCAGAGCTGTCCGGGGCCTCCTCCAAGCGCTGCCAGACCCGCTTCTTGGTCTCCTGCGGGCTCACGGACCCTGGGGGCCGCTCGGCACCCCCCAGGACGTCTGCCGGGACGCCGAACCTTGGTGGCGAAAAATCTGCTGCCCTGAAAAGTTTTCCTTTTTTTACTCTTAGTGGTTTATAGTGGTTTATAGTGTTTTTTGTGGTGTTTTTGGTTTATAGTGGTTTATAGTGGTTTGTGGTGTTTTTTGTTTGTTTATAGTGGTTTATAGTGGTTTATAGTGTTTTTGTTTGCGGTTTATAGTGGTTTATAGTGGTTTATAGTGTTTTTTTTTTTGTGGTTTATAGTGGTTTGATACGGAAAACCCATGAGTTGGCCAAAAGTTTTTGAGTCCTAGCATCCACGCAAAATGCACCAAAGGAACGGCGGCCAAAGCAGCGGCTGGCCCAACTCCGCCTTCAGCCGCCACTCCTCGAGGCGATAAAAAAGGCAAGGGCAAGAGATGCGTTCCTTCAGCTTCAGTTGTGCGGGCCCCGGATTTAAAACAAAGAAGCGACTGCAAAGAGGAATGGATGGGGATCCCCTGTGCCATGCCCTCTCACAAGCAGATATGGAAGTTCGGAAGCGAAGAGGAACCTTCCTTTCCAAAAAGAATCTGGTCTTAAGCCTGCACTTGCATGCTTGCGTCGAAGGTAGTTTGCAGCTGACCTGTTCGTCCCCGTGGTCAAACTGCAATGAACCTGCCGCAGTAGGACGAACTTGTGCACAAAGAGGGGAAGCGGGCGCTTGTTTGGGAGACTACGTCTGCGGCTCCTTCCAAAAAAAGGATCCCGTTCGCTGGCGCATGTCCCTTATTGTCCTGGGCTCCAAATCGTTTTGCGCTTCAGTCGAAAGCTAGCCAAGTGTCTGGCACAGTTCGGGCAACCGTTCCTCGTTCCTTGCGAATTTTCTAGCAAGTGTCCACTTCAGGTGAGTAAATCATCCCAAACAAGAAGGCCAACCCTTTCGAAGGTTCATTTGGCGGCGCAGTAGCTGCCAAAATGCCAAACGAGTTTTACGGATCAGCAAAGATCAGCCACCCACGCTAGCTATCACACACACACACACACACAGAGGCCCTCAGGGTTCTCTACCCAGAAAGGCAATTCACCAAATAACCGTTCGAAAGCTCAAACTGTTTTCTTTCTCTGGGATTCCCTTGAAGCGCAACAAATGGAACCCCACACATGCCATCCACAAAAATACACCCGTATCTAGAAAATTTCCTCTTTTGACGAGAACAAAGATGCCTGATCGTGGGCCATATTCCTGAAACTACACACCGGCGAAAAAATGCACGCCGAACAAAAAATCCCATGGGCTGTGAGAGTAAGAGAGGGTTCCCTTTTCAGGCTCCGGGGAGATGGGCCACGGTCAAAACTCGTCTTCTCCGTTTCCACGCGTCGACAGCCGTGAGTAAATCAGGACACAAGCTATACAGGTTGCGGCCACTCTGGGCGGAGGTCCCAAAGAGCCAGAACACGAGAAGTGGCCAAACTGACTCGTCAAAAAACAAAAGGGCCGACGCAAGGGCATTGCCAACTCCATGCAGCATGCCATGAGAACGGGGTGGATTTCTCAAACCATGAGAAACTTGAAGGAAGCCCCGCCGCCGTAATTACGCAGCAGAACCGCCGCGCAGTGCATTGATCCAGCGCAGCCACTCGGATAGTCGCTCAAGGCGTTGGGCACAAAGCCCATGAACAGAATCTTATGTTCCCACTTCTTCGTTTAACAAATACATAAATCTAAAATAAGAATGCTTCCTGGTAGCCAAAAAAAGTCCACTCGAACTCGTTGCTTCCCACTAATTTGTCTTCTTTGCTTAAACAGTGACTAAAGTCCACTAAAGTCCAGTGACTAAAGCCCACTTTTCCCACTAATGTCTTCTTCTTTTCCCTCCCACTCATGTCTTTGCTTAAACATCTTCTTAAAAAAAAAAAAAAAAAAAAAAAAAAAAACACACTCATGCTTCCTGGTAGCCCAAACACCACTTTTTCTCACATGATAAAACTCGTTCGCCGAGCTGCAATGCCGTGGTACCAGGAGTTGCCCCAGGTGCCCATCATCAGCAGCGCTGCAGCGCCCAGGCGCTGCAGAAGCTCCGCCATGGCCGTCTCCTGAAACCAGGGCTGTGGGCAATGACCACTTCTGCGATACAACAGAAAGGGCTTCCAAAACACTACTTTGATAATATAAAGGGGGATTCCCTGGTATCACAGAAGTGGGGAAAAACCCCTTGATCCCACAACCCTGCCT